GAAAAAGTGTACCACCTCTTCTTGAGGCTATGATTTGTGGTAATTTATGAGGAAACCGCTACCCACAGAAGTTGTTCGATTTTTTTTTTCCACAGATGTTCTTATCATAACAGTAATATTTTAAAAGAGGCAACAACTTTTGGCAATATTTTCCAAATGGACTGTCAAAAGATGTTTGCAAATGAACAGTTGCTATAGGTAGATCTCACCCATCTCTACCACTTTTCTTGATAGCATTTCTATCACAAATTACATGTAAGCAAGACATTTAAAATTTTTGGTATGGGATTCACGCGAGGCATGTGTGACATCCTGCCCGTCTTACTGAGCCAATGAACAGGCTTGATTCCTAGCCTTTGGGAATATTTCATGCGTATACGGGTGTAGGTGGCGCAAATGGTTAAGATCACGCACTGTTTTCTTATTGAAGCAGCAAGATTATTCCCTAGACAGTCAGAAGCGCAGCGCCAACACATTACAGGAGTCTGTATGCCTGTGGACAAAGACAAGGAGGACGACCCAGACAACCGTCATGCAAATGACTTTATTTCATATGGTGGCGGTGCACTTGTAAAAATTTACCGGGAACAGGGGCGAATCCCCCCTCCCTCCCCCCCGACTAGGAATTTAGATAAGGTTATGTAGGGTTCTTTGGTTGGTTAGGTTAGGTTCTATTAGTGGTTAAAATATAGAAGTTCCCAACACCTATGTATACAGGTATATTATTGAGACCTGGCTAATATCACCAAGTACACCGCCAATGTGCTATTTGTTTTGATGCTTATATTCTTCCTATATTTTCATCAGTGAGTTCTGATATGATAATCATTTTTTTTTGGGGGGGGGGGGTTTCGGTCAGGTTAGGTTGAACTTTTAAATAAACACTTTTTAACACATGCCATAAGTAATACAGTGTCCTCTATAAAGCAGTGAAATTACGGCATTTAATTTTTTTTCTATGTAAAATCAGCGGTGGTCTAGTCATCAATAATTACCCGGGTAAATATTTAAAAGTTGCCAACACCAACTTATTTAACTCGAAAGTGATTCTCAACATTTTTACGAGTTAGGAAACGTTAGGCAAGGTTTTCGAAGGTTTGTTTGGTGTTCTTTTTTAAGTATTTCACCCCACATTTTTCCTCTACTTCAAAGTCTTGCCCAATTTAAAAAACTAATATTTGGGGTAATTTTCTCGGTTAAAATACAGTGACCCCTCGGTTAACGAACTCAATCCGTTCCAGAAGGTCGTTCATTAACCTTAAAGTTCGTTAACCGAAACCATTGTTTCAATGGGTTTTTGGGTAATTGGTTCCAGCTCACCGAAAATTTCCTAAATTCAACAAAAATGGCAGAAAAGTTCACTTACTTTGAGGTGTGTATGTAGAAGGCTCCTGGATGATGATGATGATGATGATGGGATTTAGAATGGGGGTGGAGGAGAAGGAAGAAGAGAAGGCATTGGGGTGGAAGAGAAGTCACCCCATGGCGCCATTTCATCCATAAAATTTTAGTTCTCTTGGTGTAATTCAAGATTATTTTCTTTAAATCAACACTGCACTGCATTATATATTGTCAATATGTAAAATATATTTCAAAATGACCAATAATTTGCTTGGAAACACAAAAAAAAGCGTTTAGTTGAAGAGAGTCTGAAGCAAGATGTTACCTCCAGTGAAAACAGAGAGAGACTAACGCCTTTTTGCTGTGTTAAGAGGCTGGATGCCGCGCATTAAACTAGTCACTTTACCTTCAATTATGTTCAATAATTGTTAAAATGACTAAAAAATTGAATATTAAACTTTTAAAATTATTGAATAGTATAAACTTCTTGATATTTACTAAAATAGTAAGGAATTTAAGCCCTAGAACCGATTAATGTATTGGCGGATTGATACTAAAGCTGGTTGCCCGGTCAGTGCAAGCGAAAACATGTTGAGGTCGGTTCGTAAGAAATTCGTTAACCGAATTTTTGTTCGTTAACCGAATTGAAGATCCTTATGGAAGGCAGTTCGTTAACCGAGGCCTTCGTTAAACGAGGGGTCACTGTAACTCATCTAGGGTCGAAGTTGCTTCACAGAAACAGAAATATTGCTTCTTCTCTCCCTATTCAGATCAAGAATCATCTGTCATGGTGGAAAAAATTGGACAATCTAATCGGTTCATCTACCTGAGTTCCCCCTCAAACAGACTTGGTCATTTGTACGGACGTGTCCGAGATAGGATGGGGATACCATTCCTCAAAAGGAGAGTTCCGTCAAGGGAAGTGGAGCAACTCTCTTTGGACAAACACATAAACGTAAAAGAATAAGCAGTAGTCCTATTCTTTTTGTTAGCAAACCCAAATTTCAAAAACATGACGATTCTGTTTGCCATGGACAACAGAGCGGAAGTGTTGTCTCAATCATCAAGGCTCAACAAGATCTTGGCCCCTTCTAAACCTATCAGAAAAAAATTCAAAGTTTGTGTAACACAAAAACTTTACCTCAAAGCAACTCACATACCGGGAGTACAAAACAATTAGGCAGAGGCGTTGTCCCGTCTCAGGCCAGTATCGACGGAAACAGAATGGTTCCGAAAGATATCGAAGTTCAAGAATCTAGTGAGGAGGTTTGGGATTCCACAAATAGATCTCTTTGTCTCACAAAACAATCACAAGATGCTAATTTATGTATCTCTGGAACGATCGAATCTTTTAGGAAATGCTCTACTCATAGATCGGAACCATTGTAATTCAATCTATCTGTTCCCACCTGTGAAAAAGTTGCCCAAAGTGGTTCGCAAACTCAGATCCTTCCAAGGGAAGGTCCTCTTAATTGCACCATATTGGATCCTACAACCGTGGTGTCTCGATCTGTTGGACTGGTGCCCGCATCCACTACAATTGCAACAAGGATGTCTAGACCAGGTACTGCACCCTCAATTCGAGATATCCTTGGCACTTCACGCTAGGAGTTTCTCGAAAGATGTTTAAATAGATTGTTGGGTAATTCCAATATAGTTAACCAAGTGATAGCAGGTCATAGACCCCAAACTTCTATGCAATATGAGAAAGCTTGGAAACTTTTTCAACAATTTATCAGATTAACGACTCCAACCACATTGTCGGAAACAGTGGTGTTAGAATTTTTAGATTTTCTGTTCAGAGTTAAAGGCCTTCAAGGATCGACAAATGCATCTTATAAATCAGCATTGGTTGACCCTCTGGCATGGGGTTTTAATATTACTTTGAACCCAAGAATTTATAAAATGCTCAGATCGTCCTTTTTCATTCAGAGACCCCCTTGGCCTAAGAGAATCCCACCTTGGTTTCTAGATAAAGTTAATAAATTTCTTATGGGGCCTAATTACAATCTAAATCTGAACAAGGACAGATTGCTCCAGAAGGCAGCCTTCCTTCTAGCAATAGCAACAGGTATGAGAATCAGTGAACTGATTTCAATTTCCAATAATCCATCATTATTGGTATTTTCTGAGGAAAAAAGTCACCCTTTTTCCTACGGAGATCCTAAGAAAAAATAAAAGGGAGGATTTTCGAGCTCAACCTATCAGGATAAAACGGCTGATGGTTGAGACAAGGGTTCCTCATATATTGTGCCCAGTTAGGAATCTTCAAGAATGGTTAACCAGATTCCCTAATCAAGGCCCCTATGTATTCTCATCACAGGATGGTAAGAAATTGTCTCCTAGTCAAATGACAAAATATTTATCTCAGTTAGTGAGCAAAGCAGACCCTGGCAAGAAATTTTTGGCACATGACACCAGGAAATATGCAGGGTCTGTGGCCTTTCTGCGGCACATGAACCTAAGTCAGATCAAAGAAGTGGGCTTTTGAAAATCTTCAAAAACCTTTCAAAACAGCTATCTTCATCTATCTCTGAAAGATGCTTCACATGTGGTGGTGCTGGGGTCCCCTCCCCCACCTAGTCAATCTCCACAACCAGGACATTCTTCTTCCTCGTCAGAGTAAATGAGTACAGGTATCCTAATTGGGATATGTAAATTAACATTTTACTTTCTGATAAATGTTCCAAATATTGGAAAATATTCCAAAAAGTTTATAATTATAATCTGGAACTAAGCTAGCGGAGCCTTATACGCAATGTCACCTACCTCTCCACCTCCTGCTCGAGTAATCAAAGCTAGACGTTGCATTCCGGATTGAACAAAAAGCCGGGTTTTTTCTAAAAACCAGTTTTTGTGATATAGTCCAGAATGCGACGTCGACATCCCACCCATCTCCACCCCTCGAGAGTTGACATTTGTTTACTGCTCGCTCTAGGACAAGAGATGACGGTAGCAATGTGTGTGATGGAGGGTGCGGGAGGGGGTTTTGAGAATTGCAATTAAATGCCAGGTAGCGACGTGTCCTAATATTACATATTAAGTAATTATTAGATGTTTTAATTGCCTGTATGTTGGCCTGGCGAGTTATTGCTGGGCATTAACATACCTAGGTATAAAGCTAGACGTCGCATTCTGGACTATCTCACAAAAACTGATTTTTAGAAGAAAAAAAACGGCTTTTTTAAAGACCTGTTTCGAACACTGGTGGACACGACTGTATAAATATGGATCTAATTTAGAGGCTTAAAGAAGATGCACATTCAAAGTAATCCACCATGAACATCAATAGTCAGCAAATATCATGAATATACATCAGACTCCTACATGTATAGTTCCCAGCAAAAGTTTTCCCACAGCCCTGTGTAGCAAGTTTGTGGGAAGACTGTTGCTGGCAACTATACATACTCTTACGAATGCTGTAATATGTTTCCCCTGTCTTGTAAATAACAGAGGAAGCCTATAAAGAAGATTCCACATAATAAATCAAAGAACAGAAAGTCAAGTCAAGCTTTAGGTATTAATACAGTGTGAGGTACTGTATAAGAAAAAGGAATATCTGACAGTAAATTAAATGAGGTCATAAATATCTAAGCACATATTTTGAAGCATTAATGTGTTAGTGACAAGAAATCCTGGATTTTTATTTCAGACATTACCAGATGGATGATGCCGGCGCCTGTGAGCCAGACCGCGATGAAGATAGAACAAAGTTGTGCCAGCCTGATGCTGGATGATGTCTTGAGGACATTCAGGTACTGGAGGATATCTGGTACTGACATGAGGCGGAGGGCTCGAAGGAACCGCAACCCTGAAAATGGCAAGACACTCATTATTATTATTATTGGCAATGTTTAAGTGAACATTTCTCAGACAACAATAAATTAATGCTCTACATTACAGGATATTTAAGACAAACTAAACAGAACTATAAATAAACAGTTCTATAAGGAATTATATATTTTTGTATTTAAACATTCCAGAGGGACTTCCCTAGGGTAGTGGCACAGTTGAGCCAAATCAGGTATGTAAGAAAAAAAAAAATATACTGTACATTTGTTTCATATCTACATGGCAAATTTTCAAACATCAAGGCTTAAGTGTTAAACACGGGGTGAAAGGCAGGGACAAGTAGTGAACATATGACTTTGAAAACAATTAACTACACCAACAACAAATCATGTGGTGTGTTTGTTTCATATGTAATAATTACAATTACTATATGTATGCTTAAATAGCATATATACAACAATCAATTGGCATTAAGAAAGTGGATGTCTTGTGAATATACGGTATTGGTATACAGTACAGTATTTTGATTGTCTGACCAGCGGGTCCCGATATTCTTTTTGATGCCTTTTTTCCTTGTTTGAAAAGTTCTTTCTTTAACTGAAAAACCACCATCCTCCCTTTTCTTCGTAATCACCAACTGAACAATGGCATAACTAAAACATCAATATTTGAGGTGTGTATTACTATATCAGTGGGCTCATTATTCACATAAGGATGTCAAAGATATAATGTATACCATAATAATAAGTGAAATACGGGTAGCAAGCACCGTAGAGTTCATGATCTACGAGGAGCAGTTCATTCTCTGCCTGTGTAAACCTTAAACAATCGTATCTCTCTAACATTTCAAGATACTGACACAAGTCTTTTAAAAACATTCTTATTAAATCAATATATAGGGTAAAGAAATATTTTGATGACTCGTTACCACAAGAACAGATTAGGCAAGAAATTGTGTTTATTCAACTTAGTGCCTACCTGCCATTCCTGATTTGACTGATGGATATCTGCCACGGTAACTACAATACAGTAGTCAGGAGATTTGAAAACCGGGAGGCGTACTGAAAACTAGGCAGCTCTGAACGGTTTCAACGTAAAAGAACATGTACTGCACAAGTTAAAATTCATTATTCTAATGACATTCCCAAAATTTATGTATTCAATGTTTTATGAATTGCAGGGAGTAGTATGATGAGCCCTTAGTGCAAAGTAATTACAAGTAAAATTTAATATACTACAGTATTATACGTTTCGTTATCTATTTTTAAAGGTATATACACCATAAAAAAAAATTTGTAACAGAAGTACTAATAGTCAACCGAGCTATGGTGCATGCAATCAGCAAGGCGACTTATTAGACAAAGCCACAGGCTATTGTCCTGTGGAGAATTTGGAAGTCTGCCGCACATATATCGCTACCTGGGTGCAGCTACACAAGATTAAGGAAAATTAGTTGGTGATTTGTCAAATTCCTAGCCCAGAACATTAAGTCATATAGTGAAGGTGTTGTAAACAGGCAGTTAGGTACATTCTTTTTTCTGTTTAAGAACATTATTGACCCTTAGAACCTTTGAGAATGCGAACACAGGCTATCATAAACATTCGGGAGAGATTTAAGTAAGAAAAAATATAAAAAATTGTCGTATTATTTTGGCCCCACTTACCTATCCATGTTCTATCCAGATATATACTGACGAAGGATGGGGGGATGGTGAAGTAGTCTACGAAGGAGTACATCTCCAGCATGAACCACAGCTTATCACTCGCCGCTATAAACTGGCATCGGGAGTAAAGTACAATCATTAGCTTGGCTGGGAGGTCGAATTGATAAAATAAATATTAAATTAAAATTACAAATATAAAAAGACAAAGAACAATGACGATAATATTAGAGGTATAAAGAGGAACAAATAAATGACCTCGCGGATGGTGATGAAACTAAAGGTGGTGGGAAGTGGAGGATTTAAGGTTGTGAGTTGGTTAAGGCTGTATTAATATAAGGTAAATATAGAGTTAAGATGGAAATTATTACAGTATGTTAAAGAGTGTATAGGGTCGTGGAGGGTAGTGGTAGAAATAATGGTCGGTGAATAAGTGGGTGATGATGATGACAATGGTAATGAGTAAAGGTATGGAAATAGCGAATGGTGTTAAGTAAAATTTAGTGGAAGGAGGCTTTTCAACATTACTCTTCCTCCTGGTTCCCTTTCCCCCTCCCACACTACTATACTCTCCGTGTACTGTTGTGGAATATTTTGTATTTAGTCGTGTGAGAAAAATGTCAACAAACAACAATTTTTTTTTACTCTCAGGGCATGAACACTGATATTGAAACAGTTTATTTAGCCAGAAAATACAAATACAGAGTGGAAAATAACAACAATATTGACATGGTTCGAGGACTCCTTTTCTTTCTTATTTGTACTGTAGGTCTGCAGTTTTTTGCCCTGAATATTTTGGGTCATCTCATTTTCTCCCGTATGTTCGCAGAAGAGAGGTCAAAGTAGTAGAAAAAAAAGTATACAATCTACTATTACAGGTGTGGTTAGGATGTGGGCACTGTAAAAATATAAATCGGCTATAATTAAAAAAATTCAGTGTTAAGAAACTATAAACTTTATTACGTGTCTGTGGCAAATTATAATATACAGTTTATAAACAATATCGAATTACCAAAACCATTTTTCATGCCATACTCTAACGTAACACTGACATCATCCGCATAATAAAATTAACAAATAATAAAAAAATAGGCAGAGCTCCAACTTGGAACTCCCTAGAAAAACATTAACTCAAACCTAATGAGATACGGCAACGACAGCTTAGAACCATAAAATGAGAAGAGGATTATGATCTTAAACTTTCCTGACGACCAACTCCAACTTAACCAATATCGCATAACCTAACTTATGTTTCAAGTTCAGCGGTGGATAATGTTTGTGTGTTTATGATATTAACGATACAAATTAACGAGAGATGCCAAGGCTATGGCATCGGTGGTAGGTAGTTCCGGCGGAAAATAACTGATATTTTCACCTGTTTGAACAGAATAACCTAGTGTCAAACAGCAACATATTGATATATCTTATGCCAAACATTCATATGGTGAAGACCAAATGTGCTTGAAGTAAAAGCAGTTTTAGGAACAGTATTCACCGAAAATTAAAATTTCACTCTTCAGCACTACAGTACACTTGGATCGCTTACTTCTTCCCACAATCTCACTCAGCTCTGCTTGGTCCATGTGGGCAATTTCGGCGTGGGAGATTACTCCCAGCTTCAGGTTGTCCCACATGTAGGCAATCATTTTAAATGGAATGCCGTTGATGTCTGGGATCTCCGCGAGCTGTACGGGCATGCCCTTCTCGGCGAAGGTGATCTTGATGTCACCATGGAGCTTTAGACGTTCCACCTTGGTGACCCCCACGATCCCATTAGTTTCAAAGAACTTCTGGAGAACTAGGAGGTTTAGTTTCTTGGGGCAGGTCGGCGTATCCGGACGTATCCGCGCCACGTTATCAAACTCGTAACCGTTCATGGTGAGAGAGGGTTAGAGAGTGACTGACTGTGTATACAGAGGAGGGTGAGATCAGGTCCACAATGGTCAGGTATTAGGTAATGACCCTACTAATCTTTAAAAAGCACAGCAACGGTCGGTAGTCAGGTCAGAGGGAAAGGTGACCCAACCTTCTCACCTGGTTACAAATCTTCTTAATTACAAAATTGTCCAGTTTGTACATGCCATTACTCAAATTCATGTTGACTGCTTGAGTAATGACGGTACACAGGATGCCAAATCCACCGAACATTGTCCGTTAAATTACCTGTAAGAGAGAGTGAAGCAACATTGCGGCGAAGAGAAAGGGAAGAAAGATTTTCAACTAAAGGGGGAGAGTTAATAAGACGAAATGCCTTTGATTCCATCCTATCTAACAGTTGGACAGAAGAAGAGTCACCCCAGATGTGAGAGCAGTGCTCCAAGTTAGGACGAATGAATCCCTTATATACTTGAAGCAACTGTTCAGGAGTTGTATATATATATATATATATATATATATATATATATATATATATATATATATATATATATATATATATATATATATATATATATATATATATATATATATATATATATATATATATATATATATATATATATATATATATATATATATATATATATATATATATATATATATATATATATATATATATATATATATATATATATATATATATATATATATATATATATATATATATATATATATATATATATATATATATTGCTATCAGTCCGGAAAAATTCAGAGCTAACTCCAACAGTTAATCATAATAATAATAATAATAACAATAACAACAATAATAGTAATAATAACAACAACAATAATAATGATAATAATAATAAAAATAATAACAGCAACCCTTCACCATCCGCCAATACTTGAGGAAACAGCTGGCACACCCACCAGGAGGTAAAGACTGGGATAAGAAAAATACGTCGCCAGTTTTATCGACATTTAACAAGGAAGTGGAGCTTCCCAGCACACCCTCGCACATATAACTAACTCGAGATTTACGATGCAGCGTCCACCTCAGGGGATCGTAAGGTTGAGATTTTTGTCCCTAGACTACGGTGGTGGTGGGGAATCGAGGGATGGTGGGTGGGGGAATGTTAACGAGAAATTTCGTGGCAGGGGAAAAAATCTCTATATCATAACTAATCCAACTTAATGTAACCCATCTTTTTTCGGGGCAAACTGTAACTAATCCCAACGAAACCTAGATTTAATGAAGCTCGCCCAAAAATAAATCCAACGGAACCCAGTCTTAACTGAACCAAACTCTTACGACAAGTTAAAACGAACTCTATGTTATGTTATGTTACGCTACGCTATGAGGTGGATAAAATGTACCCAAAACCACGATACGGAACACACCCCGTGGCGGCACCGCAAGGCGTTTATATTGTTACTTTTTCTCTTGGTGTATTACAAGGTAGCAATGGACGAGTTGACGGTTCTGGGTAAACACAAGAAACACACTGCCACGTTCGTAGAGTGATACGGTACATATAATCTGTAATACAAGTTTAAAGTCCTGCTATAACAGGGCCGCCATTTGCAATGACGTCACTAGTTTCAAACTCATCGCTGCAGTCAGAGGTAGTAGAAAGGATGGCCTCTTCAGACCCCAAATGCCGCGTTCAGGTAAGTTTTAAGGGTGTTTTTTTATGGCCTAAGTCAGACATTTCGTAAGTGAAGAAATGTGCCGTGAAGAGCAGCTTCAAACATATGTTGAATGGATATATGAGCGATAGGGGTTGGATGTACAGTAAATGGGACTGCCCAGTATGGGCCAATAGAACCGCTGCAGTGTTCATTCTTATGTTCTTTTGAACATAAAAAACTCCCATGTTCACACCAGCTCAGCTGACATGTACTCTTACATGGTAGACTTTCTCTTCTTTTTTTTCAGTGCATTTACAGAGTATATCAGTACTAGATGGAGATACGAGTCAATTTAGAAGTAATGACATTGTCTGGACTTTGTTTTGAGAATGCCTGGCGCTAGGTAAACATGACAACATAGTGCTGTTATTGTTTTGGTGATTCGCTTATGAACCACTGGGATATATCATTTATATTAATTAATGGGCTAAATTTTACTATAACTACCATAAGAATATTGATGATTAGATTCGAGATAGGCTATATTGGGTAAATTTTAGTTTTGGTCATTCCTGTACTTAGACATGCAGACTGTTTTTTTCTGATGGTTTGCGATGTGTTATGACTGAGGTAGACCTTCATTTCTATCGGAAATCACTAGTTATGAGTTAATATCCCCCCCCCCTTACCGATGTATGTTAAGCAAACTTATTACTCATCATACCCTAACCTAATCTAACCTATGATCAGAATTTTCTTATGCGATCAAAAAAAAATTTGCGACAGAAATCCTGTAGAGATGATGTGTCTTATTGTTTAAAGTACTTAATCCCATAATTAGAATCTTAAGGTTCCCCGGATGACCAAAACCAAAATAATATCAATATTGTTTGGAATGTTTATACTGTACTATAAAATGTGTTACATGGGCAGCTAATATCCATTGAATTAGTTAATGTGCTTAGTAATATTTATATATTCAAAATAGTATCACTGTGTTGCGCAATAAAGCACAGTTAATTATCTAATAATATTTATTTACTGAGCCGATCAGTCAAGGTTGGATAATTACAGCTGGCTTACTCCCGCTGGGAAGTTCACCACAACCAGTGACGTCACAACCAATCACAAAGCTTTTCGTAGTCACGTGACTTTTTAGCAACTTTAACCCTTATTTTTGACACTTTTGGGCCCCATTTTTTTTAAATGTCATTACCATAGTGAATTTAAGCGTTTTCTTTACCCATTAACCTGCCATCTTACGAAAAAATTCGGACCGTCAACTCGTCCAATTGGTCCGCTTTGCCTATATATTGTACTGCAGGGACGAGCCACAAGAACCTCACTGCGAGTACTGGAGCAGCGTAGTGACCAAATGTAGAGGGGAGCGAAGAGGAGGGTGGGGGTGGGTGAATGAGAGGGAGATAGAGGGGTGAAGGAAGGAAAGGGTGAGGGGTGAGATAGGCAGAGGTGTGAAGGAGGAAGGCAGAGGGTGGGAGAGGGGTGAAAGAGAGTATGAGAGGGAGGGAAGGAGGTAGAGGGAGGGTGAGAGTTGAGATAGGCAGAGGTGTGAGGGAAGGTGAGGGAGGATGAGAAGTGGGG